AGCCTTTCTTATCAATGAATTAACAAGTTCATATCTCATGTATCTTCTTGGCAATCTTTCAGATGCTTCTTGTCATTTTTTAATTTTTTTTCCTGGAGTTCTTCATCAGTTATATAGACTTATATAAATATCTTTTTCTAGCCTATTCATTTTGTGCTTTATGTACTTCTTCCTAACTGGAGGTTTTCTCATTCATTGTATATTGAACATTTTCCATGCATTCAAATATTTGTTTTATTAACATGCTTTTCATGGTAATAAGGTTATATTAGGGAAATTACTTCTTAAATAAACATCAATACATTCTCTCAGTTCTCTAAGGTGCATAATAATATGGTTTTTATTATGTAAAGTGAGTCACCAATTATTTTTTCGCTAAGTTCTTAGCCCAAATTTGATTACTATCTGTAATGGCTGGGGAAATAGCTCAGTGGAATAAGTGCTTGCCTGGCAAGCGCAGGGTTCTGAGTTCAATCCCTGGTCCCTCAAAAAAAAAAAATATCTAATTAAATAACTGGCACATTAAAAAAGTAAAAGAAAAGCTGATGATTATTATCTGTAAGCATCACTTGATTTATTTGTGGAAATAAGTTTTTGTTTCTCTCTACTTTTTTTCTGGGGGGTACAGTTAAGTTTTCATTTCAAAAATTTGGATAGCATCAGCACTGAGTCATGAGAAAATCTAGCCATGTGTAAAATACCGTGCAATCCACTAGATTCCCTTTTCTTTAAATTGCCCTGATCCTACTATATCATACGGACTGAAGAGAGATCGCATAGATACAACTCTTTTTTTTTTTTTTTTTTGCGGAACCGGGGATGGAACTCAGGCCCTTGCGCTTGCCAGGGAAGCGCTTATTCCCCAGATAACTCTTTTTGTGATAAAATGTTACCTTAGGTAACAGCCTTGCATTGGATTATTAAATCCTTCAATGGAATACAGCATGAAGATCCCAGAGTACATCAGGGCTTACTCTTTTTGTGTTAATAAAATAGACCAACAGTAGAACTCTAAAAATGTCCCCTTTTTACCTCTTTTGGAGAAAACATGTAGTTTTAGGTTTATTTCTGCCTGAAGATAAAAGAGGCTAAATTCTAAAATCTCCATAGCAGGTGTCCCTTAGAAAACAGTCAGAGAAAAAATTCCAGAGCTTCTCCTGTGCTCTTGTCCCATATGAATGTCTAGAAGGGGTGGAATGCTGTTTATCTAGCATTTCTCAAAGTTGTTTGCTCCCAGGCCTCTTTGAAAATGTGTCTACTGAGCTTGCCTGGCAAGCCCAAGGTCCTGAGTTTGATGCCTGGTTCCCCCCAAAATAAAAATGTGTCTGCTGAGTGAAGTGCTCCCTGGAATATGCTTTTGGGCAACCATAGGGTTGGGTATACTTTTCAAGGTTCCTGAAGTTCTGTGCTCTATGGAAGAAATGACTTCCTCTTGCAGACAACAATAATAATAGAGTTTTTAATATGCAAAGTTGTTTTTTTTTCACAAGTTCTTAACTAGCCTACATTTGATTACAAACTATAATTCTGCAGAATCAAACAAGGAGCTCTGAAAGCAAGCACAGTCACTGCACTATCGATACAGATTTGCTAAATGATAGCTTTTCACAGAACGTACTTTCAAAACTGTCTGATGTTGTTTAGGCTACTTGTGACAGGACTGGGGAATAAGGAACAAACCCAGAATATAGTGTGATCCACAAGCCCAGAAGCAGACACCCAGCCTCTGGGGCCCTGTCATGAATGAGCAGTGGACTAGCAGCCTCCTCAAGTATGTACCATGGTCAGCAAGTGCTGCTCTACCCCCCGGGGCTCTGTGTGTGTGTGTTGTACACTTAGACAGTGCTGGACACTCAGAGAAAATATAATTACCATCAGTCCGAGAATATGAGGCAGAGTCCTAAATCTTCAGCGTGGCTGCCAGGAGTGTAGTGTGGCATGAGCCAGAACCTCTCACCTTCTCCCTCATTCCCCACATGTCCTCTGGTGGCCTGAGCAGCTCTCCTCCTTTGCCTGGCATCTTCCTGTCTGTCCTCAGGTCTCAGCTGACCTAGAACACCAGCCTTGGTCAGAGCCCTGTGTTTACATTCGCCATAGCATGCAGTGTCTCTGCCCAGGCATTCTCTTAGACTTACTGAATAATCATTAAAGTTTTCTTGAGCAGTCTTCACGGATAAATTATAAGCTCCATAATATGTTTACTGTCACATCCCATCCCCAAGACCTGACACACAAACTTTGAGCAAATACTGTTTGAACCATTGGCTGAGAAACCATGCCTCTGTTTAGGATAAATGCATCCTGATTCCAGAAGTTTTGTCGATGTTGTTATTCCTTTGTCTGCACTGCTTCTCACTGTGACCTGTGATGTGCTTTATTTGATCAGACCCCCGAGTGGTTGGACAGTGATTCCTGCCAAAAGTGTGATCAGCCTTTTTTCTGGAACTTCAAGCAAATGTGGGACAATAAAAAAATTGGCCTAAGACAGGTGGGTGATTTGCGTGTTTCACCAAAGTGGAAACAACTTAATTCAGTAATCTCAGAAGAAATAACACACATGGGTGGGAGTTGTGGTGGGGTAAGTTATTATCCTGGAGTCACCTTGTGACTGCACATTAGTGTACCCCCTTTGTTTGTCGTAGCTCATTCCTATTAGGTTCCGTTTCTGCAGCAGTTCGTTTCCAGTAAGTAATTGAAGGGTACAGTTTTAGAATTCTAATGGCATCTATTGAAATGCACCTCAAAATTAAGAGGCATCATGCTTAGCTCACATTGGTTCCAATCCATAAAATTATATAAGTAGCACTTACTGCTCCTTAATGATTACACTTTCCCTCCTTCTGGTTTGGTTTTAGTTGCCTAGAGCTACTTACAGTGCACCACTTTCAGTCTGATCCATGGTTCAGCTTGGTCTTTCCCAAGGAAAGGTCGCCAAATTTGGGCAGTGGGCTGAGGCAGGTCCTTCCACGTTCTCCTCCATCCAGCGGCATAATCTCTGGAGATAGTATTTCCTCAGTCTACCCATCTTTAAGGCCACACAGCCACTGGGTTCTCTGTAGTCATAGTGATGGTCATGCGGGAGGATGGAGGTTGGAAAGCGGATGGGGGGAGGTGACACACACCATCAGATGTGTCTCCAGCAGCCCGCATTCTGGACGCACAGAGCCCAGGAAGACAAGCCTCTGGTGTGCTCCTGGGAGGTTTCTAGGGCAGCCCTGAATGATCGCAGCTGAGTGTGCCAGGGCGGCACAGACAGACATAGCTGCCTCTGTTCTCTCTCCCTGCTCCAGCACCATTGCCGCAAGTGTGGGAAGGCCGTCTGCGGCAAGTGCAGCTCCAAGCGCTCCTCCATCCCCTTGATGGGCTTCGAGTTTGAAGTGAGGGTGTGTGACAGCTGCCACGAGGCCATCACAGATGAAGAGTAAGTTCCTGCTTTCTGCAGGACTCTCCTGGTTACAGCAGGAGCCACCCCTGCTTCAGAGGGCCCCAATTCCTGTTGCTTTAGCTACAGACCATGCAAGTGATGAAAATCCTTCTTTGCCAGCAACAGATTTGTGTGATCTTGAGAGATAGATACAGAGAGAATACAAAGAATTTATATCTGTTTGTGTGTGGGTGGGTGTGTGTGTGAGAGAGAGAGACAGAGACAGACAGAAAGAGACTAAGCTACATCTCTAGTCCTATTTTATGTTTGCTTTTGAGACAGGTGTTGCTACTACAGGCTGGGCTTGAACTTTCTGCCTCTCCCTCCCAGAGTGCTGGGATCATAGGGGTTCACCACCGCGCCAGCCTCATCTCTGTGCTCTTTTAAATCCCTAGAGTATGTTCATTTAAAGTACAGTGGTACCTCGGTTCCACAAACCTAATTCTAGTCTACAGCCATACCACTCTGAACACGCCTGATCTCGTCTGATCTTGGAAGCTAAGCAGGGTTGGACCTGGTTAGTACTTGGATGGGACACAAACCTAATTCTTTCCATGATTCTGGTCACAAACCAAACTGGATAAGAACCAAACCAGATTTCCCTGTCAGATCAACACTGAACCTAACCATCGAATTCAATCAGTTCTCGTTCAGCTCGGTTTGTGACCAGAGTCGTGGAAAGAATTGAGTTTACGAACCCACTGAAGGGGCTGTCTGAGTAAATGCCTGTGTTTCTTACTTACTGAGAACTGCCTGGGAGTGTGGCGGCTGAGGACTCACTTTATAGCCCAGGCCGGAGTACAGGACCTGAAGCAGGCCTCAGCCAGGCTCCAGAAGAAGGTTTCAGGTTCCAGGAAGAGCTAAGCTGCTTTACCTAAGAGGCAAATATTCTCAGTTGCCCACTGCCCCTCCGGCTGCTTGGCAGTCCTCCTAGGGCCTCAGGTGTGCTCCGGAATGCCGTGAGAATCTGCATTTTCTTTTTAATCTTGGCAAACTGAAAACTTCCTCAATGCAAACAGGATGCTCTGAGCAAGTGTCCCCCTTACTGAGGTGCAGGAGGATCAGTCTCCTAGGTATTTGTCTTCCAGTCCTCCCACTGTAGTCAAATCATTGTAAATATTCTTGTTTACCCATATCAAATAAAAATTAAATACCCTTACAGAAGTAGGCATTTATGTTCATTAATTATTTTCTATTGATCATATGTGATGAAATTAGTAAGTTTGTATTGAATAGGCAGCTGCAAGGGACCTTAGAGATAGGCTAGTTTAATTATTTATTATATAAAGACACAGACCAGAAAGTGTAAGGAACTTGCAGATTCAACCTAAATCTTGAATTTTGAAGATTTGAATATCATCATTTTTAGCATACTGAAAAATCTGTCCTGCAGACTTAGCGGGGGTATTTACCATGTCTCTGTATGCCTGAAGGAACTAATTCTTAAAAAAAAAAAAAAAAATAGAGGGGGGGGGGGGGGGGGGGCGGGAATACGCCATTTAATGCTGCAGTGAGACCCTTGCACTGCACTAGGCATCCGCGCTGCAGCCTCCCTGGCCCTTCACATCTCACCACGTCTTCCCCCTCTGCTTTGTGAAGTGTCCGCACTGCTTCTGGAGCACCTAGGCAGTCAGCAAGCCCTCGTGCTTTTTTAAAAAAGTGTGGGTTAAAAAATACACAATATGCTGGGCTTGGAAGTATACACTTACAATCCCAGCACTTGGGAAGCTGAGGGAGGAGGAACACTACATGGTGAGCCAAGGCCAGCCTGAACGACATATGAAACTATGACTCGGAAGGAAAGAAAAAGCAAATAATTATATATATAGTTTTGCTTACTGAAGATTTAGAATACTATAGAAAAACTGGTATAGTGCAAAAAGGAAAATGAATGGATAGCCTTCAAATAGAATGATAGTAGACTGCAGGTCATTTTAGCAAGCACCTTTTTAAAACTTAAATAGGCCAGGTAGACCTAAGACCCTACAAGGATTGACCGGCAGCCGGTAGAGCAGTGGGCACTCAGAATATTTACCTCTTATGCAAAGCAGCTTAGCTCTTCCTGCAAACTGAAACCTTCTGGAGACCAGAAAGTCCTTTCTTATGAGCAAAATCTTTACCAAAGCACTGTGGTTTTTTGGAAAAAAAAAAAAAATTCTCACAAGCATGGTTAGAGGTGACTCCATCTTCAGCACATTCTCCTGAAGGACCTTTGGAGGCTGCCTCTCTTTCCCATTTAGGAACTGTAAGAATTCTTTTGCTTCATTATATTTTTAAACTTAATAGTCTACCAGGGAATAAAGGATAAAGGCAATGTGGGAAGCATTTTTAACAGGGAAGCAGCTTTGGCCAGTAGCCTAAAAGTAGTGCCTAGTATCATCCTAGACCTCCATAGTTCCTGTGCCACCCTTTCCTCTCCTCTCGTTCTCCCCAGGCGAGCACCCACAGCTACCTTCCATGACAGTAAACACAACATTGTGCATGTGCATTTTGATGCAACCAGGGGATGGTTGCTGACTTCTGGAACTGACAAAGTTATTAAGGTAAGAAACGACACCCTCACAGTACGCTTCCCCTTTGTGGCTTTATGTATGAGAAAGGGACACCAGGAGCCTGTGAGGCTCTGCTCAGAGCATATCATTGGGAGTGGGCTTTCTAGAAAGCCTGCTACATGCATGTCCACAATGGTGAGGAATGAGTTATCTGTGGAGGGCATATTATTTTAAAATAATAATAATAGGGCCGGGGAGATGGCTCAGTGGAATATGCGCTTCCCTGGCAAGCGCAAGGGCCTGAGTTCAATCCCCGGATCCGCAAAATAAATAAATAAATAAATAAATAAATAAATAAATAAAATAAAAATAATAATAGATCACATGTGCAGCATACAGAAGAGGGATAAAGGCAAGAAGAATCTTAAGAGTTCAGCATGGGGAAGTGCGGTGGAGCTAGAGAAGTGGGGCATTGGGAAGTGGATGGGACTGAGTGGAGCGCTGAGTGAATGGCAGGACGCAACAGGCCTGCGGCTAATAAACAACATCCTCTCCCACTGAGATCAATTAATCCGAGACTGCTCATCCAGGGCCTCTCTGAGCACTGTGGTAGACCACAAGGACTCTGCCACCACAGTGTCTTTCCCATGCCGTTCTTGGAGGCAGCAGCAAGACTCAGTGGCTAATAACCCCCGTTGAGACCCTCTTTGTGACTTCGAGCAAGTTTGAAATAAACCCTGAGAGCCCCAGTTCCTTGATTTTTGATGTCCTAAAGAATTGTTTAGAAGATTAAATGGGAAGATATGAGAAGAACACAACACAGGCTTCACATTCAACACATGTTAGTTCCCTTCCTCCTCTACAAAACAGCATTTGTTCACCATCAGTTGGGTTAAATTTCAAGCTGCCTTTGTCATGTTTTGTAGCCGTGCAAAATCATATTAGAAGGGTATGTAGCTGCTTGTGATATGAAACAACTTCACTTGAATCGTAAGGACGGTTCATCTTCCATATAATTTGATTTTCTTCTTCTTACAGTTATGGGACATGACCCCAGTGGTATCTTGATGACTCTCCCAGGACTCAGAAAGATAGTATTTACTAAAGAAATGGTTGTTTTAATCCAAATGATTACTGGAGAAGTAAAGCAGACGCGTGAGAAGTAAAACAAACTAAAGGCCCTGGGTGACTGTGCATCTTACCTACGCAGTCAGGGGTGGGCGTGCAGCAGGATGTTCACGGGGACTTTTCAACTTGTTCATACAATCTAAAGAAGATATTTTTTTAACAAATGGTTTATACAGTCTGGCTATGCTTCATTGTTTCAAGTATGCTAAAAACTTCGTGTTGGGTGTTTGATTTTTATATTTTCTAGCCCTCCATTTTGCCTGTTGCTTTGTGTGTTGGAGAAAAAAGAGAACTATGTTGTTCAGAGTATTTTGGTCATTATGAAGTAGTTTCCACGTTTTCTTCACTGTGGCATGTGGCCAGCGTCTTTTTGTTCTTTAATTTTATCTACTTGTACCTTCTCTCTCTTTTGCCAGAGTATATGTATTTATGTGTTTATTCCCAGTGTTTGTGCTTTTGTTTCTTCTAAATGGAGAGATTGGAAAACCGTTTGTTTTGCTCCACCAGCCAACTTCTCGAAGCGCCTAAAGAATGATCCATTTCTATTGTCTGACGTGTTCATGTTCTCACTGAGTAGAAATGACTTCCTGTTTTTGCCTCAGGTTTCTGTGTTTCCCACTTTAGAAAATGCTGTGAGAAGGTATTGCCAACATCATCATCACAGAAGTAGATGACTGGAGCTCACAGCTTCAACCATCAGTGCCTGGATCACGTAGCATCACCTAGGGCCTCCTGAGCCTTTCATGTGTTAGCGTGTTTTTTGCTTTGTTTTGTTTTGTTGTTTTTTACATAGCTCTTATAACATTCAAAACAAAAACTTACAAACTCCAAAAATAAATGTCTTTAAGATTTGTTTTCCTGTGCCATATCATCTCTGAACTGGAACATGTATTGCTGTAAGATTTGAGTCCTCAAAAAAAAAGGTTGTAGTCCTGCTTTGTCACCATCTTCACCTTCTTCCCCTTCAAAATACAGACATTCAAATATTTTATCTTACTGTATTTCATCTGAACAGGTTGCATACTTTCATACTGAGACTATATGTGATCTGAGATGTGTAGGTACTAAATGCGATAGCTCCTGCTGTGTTCCTCTTGGGGACATAAACGAGGGTTCCAGAATATGCACATGAATTCTTGCTTCTAAGGGAATCTGATCAAACTTGATAAATGATTACCTCAGGATACTGAAGTCCTTTTTTAAAACCCTATTTTCAGTGTAAAAGTAGAATTAAAATTAGTGGCAAGCATGTGCCAGGTATGCACTTTATATGGATACCCCAGGCTTAGCACTTTATATGAATACCACCTCATGGGGCTGGGGAGATAGCTCAGTAGAATAAGTGCATCCCTGGCAAGCGCAAGGGCCTGAGTTCAATCCCCAGTTCCGCCAAAAAAATGAATACCACTTCATGAGATGCTCACGTGTCAGGACTATTCAGGGTTCACCACGCCTCTTGAACATATCCAGGTTAAATGAAGTCTCACAGATAAACAGATTGCTCGTTTGCTTTTCCCCTTCTGGGTCCTGTCTGCACCATAGATATTCACTTCTGATTTGACAAGTTTGGGGTAATAGATAAATAGAATTTGAGTGAAATAGAAATCCTCCCTATTATTTTTTTTTTCTTTTTCTGGCAAGTATTTACTCCCCTTACAATTATTCATTACTTTTCTAACTGGCGATACTTTAAAGCTATACTTGGATACCACCCCAGCCCTGACCCGTGTACTCCCTGGGGATGGGGCTTCCTGGAGGTAACTCTGCTGATCCAGCATGGGAAAGCAGGGCCAAAGTGTGTGTCCTGTGTATCCATGGCACATGACAGCCATCGCCTAAGGCCAGCACTCTTGAGGTACACAGACCTGCAGTGCACACATAAGGACCATTGATTATTCTTCATTGTCCCTCCCACACTGCTCTTGCTTGTGTTCCATCAGAGCTGTTATAACTACTTCCAAGTCTGTTCTACATGGTTGCTCTGTAAGAGAGCTTTTCAAAAGAGATTGCATTTAAAGTATTAGAATATCTGTTTTGTAGTGAATTACTAGAACCTGTGGCCACTTACTATGTTATATGCAATAGGCCAGTCAGATAGCTCAGCGATTTAAAATGCCTGCTTAGGCAGATGCAGGGACCAGGGCTCAATCCCTGGTACCTGCCCTGCCCCCGGGGTGCACTGAGATGGCAATTGAGACTGGGTATGGTGGTGCACACCTGTAGTCCCAGCCCTTGGGAGGCTAAAAACAGGAGGATCACTGTGAGTCTGATCTATGTAGTGAGATCCTGTAGGCCCTGTACTAAATACATTAAAAAAGAGAAAAAATAAGAAACTTTTGTTGTATGCAATAGAGAGCTGCGTGCTGGAAATGGGTAACAGAAATGCATCACTCTGTTTTCACTTCCTGTACTTCTGCACCTGACCTGCATGCAGGGAGGGAAATATAGTTTCAGGAAGGCCGGAATTCAGGCACCTGGCAGGCCTTGTGTGTATTCCCAGTTAAGTATAGATGCCTTCAGACCTCATTTGGGAAGCTAATTGCCCCATAACACTGTGGTCTCTCTGTTTCATTCCCCTGTGCTCCATTCCCCCTAACTTCCTCCCAGTATTGCTGTCAGCCTACCCAAAGCCCACTCAGAGGTTGAAATCTCATTAAAGATGAAAGTCATGATTGAAAACCACCGCTATTGCAAGTTATCCATTACTCTGCCCTTTGATTTCCCCTTATCTGTGTGGGTGCCTGAATTTGGTGAACAGTTTATTTAGCCAATCAACTGTGTATGTTTGTAATGCTGAGTTCTTGCATTTTGCAATAAGTATCTCCACCATTTTTGTAACTCATAGAGAAATACGTGCTGGTGTGGGATGTCTTCCAAGCATTTTGTGGAATTACAGGCTTCATTCATTATGAGTGAGAGCTCCCCCCGGCACTTGGATCTCTCCTGTCTAGATGAAAGTCATAGTTCTTGTGCCCTATTGGATTTGCACTTTACATATATTTTTGCTGTACTGCTTAAACATGCAGCAGCTCTGGCAAATGTTGCCTAACATGGGTATGTTGAAGAGGTAGCAGAATTGCACTTCACAGAGTCGTTTTCTTTTTGGTAGAATGAAATTAATCTCATGTTCCTGACTCCCCCATAGAGATGGAGCCCTGGAGTCTGCAGCTGCCTGTGTGTAGCTCCATAGTAGCAAAAATGATTTTAGACTAAATACTTGCAATCGTGTGTCATTTTTTTATATAAGGTCAGTCAACCATAATGTGCTTCTTTTTTAATGTTTGAATTATTCAGAGAATCATAAAAATCAGAAAGCTGGAAGAGATCTTGAGATCTAGAATGATCCTAGCAGAAAAATTACCAGGCAGTTAGATATAACTGAAGCCTAAACAAGAGAAGCCAAAAGAATATTCAAGGAAGAATTGTTTTTTAATGTTGCCTAGTAACAGCGTTAGTTAGAGGAGTCCTCCAGCCCCTTGAGACAGTGAGCTATCCGGAACTGGTTCATGCTTCTTGTTGGAAGTGTGTTCAACACCACTCTTGGCCCCAGCCCTGTAATTATTGCTGTAATGGGTATGGATTGTTCTCAGAAGGCAGCTATTGTAGGTCCTCATCCATGTAAATGCCTTTCCACACTCTAGCACACAGATCACCTTGGGCAAAATAAGCAGCTGTGCAGGGTCCCAGTTTGCCAAAGGCCAGGCTTGAGTGCATCTCTGGGGAAGCCATTTGTCTGGTAGCACATTGCAGTGTTATCTTCCAAGGTTCACTTTTTAAAACTGTAATGTATTTGTGTTTAACATGAATCCTTACAGCTTGAGTTTTGGCTTTTAAGCAAAACAATAGCTATAAACTATGTGTCATAGTTAGTGGACATAAATATTCATTAAATAGGATTCCTTTGGTTTTGCCTTTTCATAATTGTATATAAGGGAACTTGCTCAGTAAGATTTATATCTTAAAGCAAAAGAAAAGTGTTTTGCCAAAATGTTCTCATTTTTCTCCTTTAAAATAGTGTAAGGTTAAATTTTGCCTGCTGTGAAAGTGACTATGTAGCAACTTGATTAAACAATGCAGAAATTAACTCAATTCTGGGCACCAAGTTATCTAGATTCTCCTTACAGTTCTGGTCTAGGCCAGCCCACTACTACTGAGAAGCCCCCTTACTCCCACATACCAGGCAGCTCAGTGCTGGGGTCACCCTGTGTCCAAGGCCCCTTCCTGACCAGGCAGAGGCCACGCAGGTGAATGAAGGGGCCATTCCAGCACCGTGTGATTGATGTAATGATAGGTGTGTGCTTGGGCTCCCAGCCAGCACGACCCTCCCAAGCAGAGAATAAAGAAAATTTAGGCTACAGAAACAACACAGATAAGCCCAAAGTCTGCAGTGAGCCTGGTATGCACAGAGAACAGCCTCAAGTAACTCAACAGCAGGCCTGGAGCCCATGTGGGCAGTAAGACACATTGCTCCATGGCCTCACGGCCTGGGAGAGGGAGGGCACACCCATTTCCCTGGAACAGATTTGCTCAGAAGCTTATCTTGCAACTAGCACTAGTACTTGCTGCTTTTTCTTTAGAAATCTCAAGAATTGGTATTTGAAAATGACCCATAGTAGGTAATTCTTGGAATTCGTTGGACATTTTGCCTTTCATTTAAAGCTGCGATACAGACCTAGAGACCACGCACACATGGCCCATGAAAGAATGTGACTAGGCTAAACCATTGGCTGGCCACGCTGAGCTGGTCTGCTGTGGGAAAGGGAAGGCCAGGCTACAGTAACAGCTGGAGCAGGAGGAGATTGTTCTAGCCAGAGGTGGCACTGTACTCATGTGCAGTGTAAAACATTGCCGGGCACAAGTGGCTGCTACTGGAGTCCCTGTCCTTCTCAGCCTTAGACTGCTCTCAAAGTAATGGGCTGTTCCTGTCCTGTGTAAAATTTCAGGGGTCTGTCACTCCCCACATAGAGGGGAAAGGATTTTCTCAGTTCAGTTAGGGGACAAAGGGTTCAGGCAACCCCCTGGCTCCCAAAGACCTGGCTCTTCTGAGAAGGAACATCTTGTGGCAGTGCTCAAAAGTGCCTCTTCATTGCTGTTACATTACTTGCCTTTTGTCCATAACTGAATCAGAAATATCTGTGTTTATGTTCAGATTTTAGCACAGCTTTACATGAATATCAATCCTAGGGTTTTAGTTTTCATTTTTGCATTTTAATGTTACCCTTTTAACCAAGAAGCTTTTTTCAGTCTGCAGCTTATAGCAGTGTCTGAAAGTTAGATCTACCCTAATTTGGAGGGGGTCCCTCCCTTGAGTTTTCCATGCTAGGCAAGACAGTAGGTAGATCCTTGTCTGAGATGTTGAAAAGGAGATTAAGGCTTTGGGAATGGCAAATTCATCGTCCTTCACAAGGCCCCTTTCAAATCTTGTGATTCTGTGATTCGCTGCATGTTAACGGGCCACCCCCAGCCATTCCCAGCGCAGGGCTGACTTCACTGATGAATGTGAGCATGTTGCCATGCATACGGTTTCTGCTATAGCAAATGAATTCGTTTCTAGATTTTCCCATCTAGCACCTAGTAGGTATGGCATTAGAAGGTGGAGGTTAATCATGGTACCATCTCATAACCAGATACCTCGGACTGTTCACCTTAGTGAGTCAATAGAGTATTTTACTTTCTTGGGAGAGAAAGTATCTGAGAATTGCAAGTTGATTCGAATTTTGGAATCTGACCTTGATATTCATGATTCTTTGAGGTTTTCTTGGTCCCCTGGAAGATATGAGATGGTAAACTATAACTCAAAAGAAAAAATGGAAAGTGCTTTTGAAAAAAGTATCTCCCAGGCCGGGGAGATGGCGCAGTTTAATAAGTGCTTCCCTGGCAAGTGCAAGGTCCTGAGTTCAATCCCCGGTTCCGAAAAAAAAAAAAAGTATCTCCCTTCCACGCTTTTCTATCATTTCAATGATTGCAGCCTATTTTCAGTAGCCAGTACAAAGTCAGGACCAAAACACATGTCGCCTGGGCCGGGGAGATGGCTCAGTAGAATAAGCGCTTGCCTGGCAAGTGTAAGGGCCTGAGTTCAATCCCCAGTTCCACCAAAAAAAAAAAAACATGTCGCCTGCCATTAGCCATTGTATTTATTGGCATCTTCTGTTATTTGTCTTGTTTTTAAAATTACTTTGGTTTTCAAGGTACTGTCATTTTGCAGAAGAAAATGTACCAGAATAGCTATTAACTGGACACAGGGAAGGTTCTGTCTCCACGCCTGTGCCTCCCCCACGCTGGCTCTGTGGCCAGGGACACAGACTCATCCACTGGCACAGCCAGCTGGCGGGACCCACCCCTGGACCTGGCTGCACCAGGCTTGTTACTTCGTGGGTGTCTTTCTCTTTGGAAGATTCTTCAGGGCTGAGGCTGAATGTAGTGCACCTGAAGCTGAAACAGCTCTCTCCGTGGTGGTTCTCACAGGACCCTGTTGGCATTTGCCCTGTCCTTTGCCACCAGATTCCATCAATCAGACCCACAGTCTTGACACGGACCTCCTGGATATGGTGAGGTGGTACTGTGCAAGAACACACCAAAATCTGTCTGTAGCCAGCCCTTCATCCTATGCTGCTGAACATAATGAATGTTTTCACTCTGCTCAGCCTCCCACTGTGCTGCCCTCTAACCTCTAATGTCCGTGTAATCATTACCAGTATAAGGCTCTGTGCAGAGTTGCCCCTGTAGTTTAAAATAAATGTTTGTGAACACCTGCCTGCAATTATGTAGTAGACTGATTTGGTGCTATCCTTGTGGGTTCTGACACACGTCGAGGTAGGTAAGGTGGGGAATTATCAGATTACTCCTACATCTGGCTGTCTAGACCTCAAGGAGAACCGTCATCTGGAGACAGAGGGGACATAGGCTGTGCCCGTGTGGTCCTTATCGCTCATGTAACTACTTCTACTGTGTTTCTTAGCAAATGAGGAAGAAAAGAGTTCAAAAGTGATACAGCTAGGAAATGCCCCTTTCTAAGCTCAGGTCATTTGGGTTGGGTTGGGTTTGGGTTTTCTGTTAGTTTGTTTTGAGCAGAGTTTCACTGTGTAGTACATACAGGCTCTGAACTCACTTTGTAGCCAAGGCTGGCTTTCAACCTATGGTGATATA